GAAGACAGAGAGGAGTGATACAGCTAAACTGAGAACGAGTGAGGGGAATCTGCACCAACAGCCTGCTGACGTACTGTCTGGCCATTCAAAAATTGCAAATTTTATTCTTCCCCATTTTTTCAAATCTGTTTTTCCCTCCCTTGGCGATATTTACTGTCGATTTACTGGCGATTTTCATTTGTCTTTATGAAGAAGACAAATCTTTACGTTTGTACCTGCACAGGCTGGATCCCAGTTCTGCTTATAGGAATGAGGAACTTGGCTATTAAAAAAGGTGGAGTAGCACTGAATGAGAGCCTGGGCTGGTAAATAACTATTTTGGAGAGAACAGAGCTGATCTAGGGTGAAGGACAAATGAGGTGTTAGGAGTGTGGGGTAGGGGGAAGGCTAAGGATCAGATGAGACTTTTGTACATGAATCGGGGTCAAAGGGAACGATATTTGGAAGGAAAAAAAAAAAACCATACTTGAGTGGAGGACTCATTATCCTGTTTGTTTTTTGGAAAAAAGAAAGGGCTGGGTATGGCAGGACTAACGTAAAACTTCAGTAGAAGTGTTTTGCGTGACATTAGAGATTGTCATTGGAGAAAGCAATTAGAGAGTATGCTAGAAGATTGAAGGAGCAAAGCATGGGAAGGCAGATGGTTATAGTTCCTTATTTTGAGAGGGAAGAAATGGAGTATGAAGAGTTACAGCGGAGGTGTGCAGGGAATGCAAAGAAAAGGAGGTAGCAGAAAAACGTTAGGGATTTGTGGAAATAGAAGTAGCAATGATGGGAAGGAAGAACATATAAACAGAATAAATGCAGTAGAGAAAAGATTAGGGAGGAAAGGGAAAGAAAGAGGCAGTGGTGGTTCGGAAACTCTATTCCCTGTTGTTCCAGTGGTCTGTGAGCCTGTAGTCTGCAGCCTCTAGACTGCATACACATTATAAATGAAAGAATTTGTCACCAAGTGTGGTGACAGAGTCTTCATCACACTAGACAAAAGGTGTTGAGATGAGTTTGTTTAGCAGGAGGATTGTGGAGTGCGCAAAAGAAGGAGATCATCAAAGTATTCATCTCGCCGTCCAGTAGAGGATATTACTGAGGAGGACTTGGACAACATTGCAATCACTGTTAAAGACAAAATCTATGACAAAGTTCTAGTAAGTGGCTGCTGTTTTCTTTACTGTGTCCATGCGCTTGAAATTGAAAGTCTCTTAATAGTTCATCTGGTGTTTGCTTTCCTGAGGTTCTGGAGAGTGCAGCTCTACATTACTAAATCAGACAAGCACAACTTGAAAGCTTTGCCAGGCTTCCATGGGCTTGCCTGTGCTGGTTGATAATCCCCACCAACTTTTTGCCTCTGCAAAGAAGTGCTTTCTTGCCAGTGCTATTAAGGGGAATTTGCTGTAGCTATGACTCACCACTGATAAGAGTTGACATCCCTTTTATCTCTCATCCTCACTTAATATAAATGTGGTGGTGGTGGTGGTTGTGCCATTAAATAAGTGATCCCTGCTGCTCCTTGCACACCCTGGAAATGACGTTTCTGTGTGGGCTGGGTAGTTTCCAATGCTCTTGATGGAACTCCTCCTTCCTTTCCTTCACTGGATTTGGCTATTATTAATTGTCATAAAGATCTAGATGATCAGCTTACTATATATTTCATGCTTCATTGTATTTGCAGAGATGAGTCACAAAGTAATCTTCTGAATAGTTTTAGCTTTTTCCTAGAGAGAGGAAAGGATCAGAACTGCAACATGAGGTTCATGTAGTTTAAGACTCCCTATGCGACTGAGCCTGGGCGCTGTCTCTGTAAGATTTCTAGCATCTCTCCACATAACTATATGATTTATCACAATAACAGAACTTACGGTTCTTACTAAGATTTTCATCACTGAATTTGACTTTGGTTTGAAATTTGTGCTTTGCTATCAGCAGATGTATTAGGAAAGTTCGGCAATGAGCATTTAAGATGTCCTTCATACAGGCGTTTCTCCTCCTTTCCAATTTTAGGGTAGTACTTGCCACCAGTGTCGACAAAAGACAATTGATACAAAGACAATCTGTCGCAATCAGGGCTGTGGAGGAGTAAGGGGACAGTTTTGTGGACCATGTCTTCGAAATCGATATGGGGAAGATGTGAAATCAGCACTGCTTGATCCAGTAAGTGTAATTTCTTGGGCTTGGAAAGAAAGTGTAATGAATATGGTTTTGTTGGTAAGCTGTGATGAGTATATGCTCATGATAACATGGCATTCAAAGCTTTTTGCCATGAGAAGGTCTGTAATACTGTTCGGACTGACACTGATCTTGTTGGAACAGAAGTGGAAAGTGCAGGACCTGGATTACGTTACACCCACCTTCACGCTTTGAAGCTCCGCTTGCTTACCAAATAGTAGAGGGAAGGTGTGAGACCTTTTAAGAAAAGGAATCTGTCCCCTTTCAGAAAAATGCCAAAACATACCTTTTTTTTTTAATTCTCCCGCTATGTCGGCATGCAAAGCAGGTTCCTTCTTTTAGATTCTAATTTTTAAATGTGAGAAAAAAGGAGAAGGATGCCTAAAAGTCTTGGGGTTGGTTCCCTTTTCTCTGTCCACCGAGGCACTGAGCAAGGAGGGAGCACAGGCTGCTGCCAGAGAATGAGGCACGTGGCTATGCAAAGACCTCTCGCCAGATTAGCTCTCTCTGTGCTCAGCTTGTTGTTGGACCTCATCTCCCCCACCTCTGCTTTAGAGAGGGGCTTCTGGGCTCTTCAGAAGGACAATGAAGAACTAAGGACTCCGATGTGCTGGCCCGGTGTGGCAATGGCTGCTGTACTGCAATACAGGCTGTTAGAACCTGCAACCTCTATGTTTGGTTTCTGAGCAGCTGGGAGATGCCTGACTTCATGTACACGCTGGGTAATTCAGTCTTAGGAATCAGGCTGTGCCAGCAGACAGAGCCAATGAAACTTGTCTTGGTGGGTACCCACCTTTTTCTCGGGAGTTCACTATGGTCAGCCTAACGTAGGATGAGTTATCAGTAGTCATTACAGATGCCTTTAGTCCATTTTAAATTAATACGGAACAAATCAGAGCGCCTGACTTTTCGGAGTAAGAAGCATTCAAGCAAACTAGGTAGTGCTTGATCTTTTCTGCAATCCTGCAGAATTTGGAAGGTGTTAACAAGGTTGGTTGGCTGATGCAGGCTTCTAAAACCTTGCCCTGAACAGTCGCACAGTAAGGAAGCCATACTTGTCTGTCTGAGCAACAGGAAGGTGAACATAACCTTACTCATAGCTTGCCTTTACCCTCCCCTTTCCGCATTCACCCCCTCGCAGGCCTGGATCTGTCCTCCTTGTCGTGGGGTGTGCAACTGCAGCTACTGCCGCCGGCGGGACGGGCGCTGTGCCACGGGCATGCTCATCCACTTGGCCAAGTTCTGCGGCTACGATAACGTCAAGGAGTACCTGGAAAGGTGAGGGCCGTGCCCCGTGCTCGTTGCTTTTAACACTGTTGTAGCCCTCTAAGTAATACTTGACTTCTGTGGCCTGGGGCAGATCTGGACCTAGGCAAAAGAAGTCTCTTGGACTTGAGATTCCTTCTAGGCTGAAATTGGCTTCATTGAAGTGAGTCATATTGTCTGTGTAAACAAATCATTTGCTTAAGAAATTGAAATGCTTTTCCCTGTTTTGAAATCAGTATTGATCACTTCAAGCGTATAGAAGTGCTGTTTTGGGAGCTGTCATCTTCAGAAATGGAAATGGTCTGTTTAGGGGGAACCTGAGTTTCCTAAAAAGCACTAACACTGTTTTCTCATGTCTCAGTTTACAGAAACAACTGGCAGATGACAATTGAGAACGCTGAACTCAAGCTGTGCCTGCAACTGGTTGATATGTTGACAAGTTTTGACTTCAAAAGGTTATTACTATGTTTTATATAAGATAGAATTGTAGAGTATAGTATATGCATTTCTGTGTTGGGAACTTTTTTATTGATGTGGTCTTATGCAAAAGATCTCTCAGGAAAATGTTTTGGTAGAGAAATCTACATGCACAGACCTATATATTAAATGAAATGGCACTCTTGAACCTTGAGTGATTAATTTTTAATAGAACTACACAACCACATGATGGAGAACTTGGTCAATTTGAGCAATATTTTTATTTATATAATTGTGCAAGTTTGCAGAAGGGGTGTTTAACAACTACTTGTAAACATACCCCATCTTTAAAGAAACAAAGCCCCCCTTTGTGTTCCTGCTTGACCACAAAGATTCAGTTTTCCAACCCCTGCTTTCTGAACCTATTCCTCCACCTGTAGTTTATGGAACTTGCCCCTGAAAAGAAGGCAAGGGTCCTTTCACCTGAATGCCAGGTGGAATATATTCCAGCAAAAGCGGATGCAACCTACCAGTGGGAGGATGATTTTTTTTTTTATTCCAAAGTGCAAAAAAAAATTAAACATCATCCCAATAAAGAAAAACAATTGTTCACCAGCAGTTTTTTTGTGATGCATCTGCATCTGGACCAACTACTTTACAGAGTCATAACTGGTTAACTGGTTTAAATCACAAAGTTCAGGATTATTTTTTTTAAATACAGTTCATACTTAGATGTTTTTTCATAATGTACAACCAAGCTTTTGAACAAATTTGTTTAAATGCAATGACTGTATTGCAGTATGATTATGTTAAAATTGTTGTAAGATACACATTTCATTTTATGTAGAATAAAGAATAATCAAGAGGAGCGTTTTGTGAGTGAAACTACACCCAGATGCTGATGTTTCCTATTTACTTTCCCATAGCTGGTGTAATGAAGGAGTGCTTGCAGATCAATAATCATTATATGGAGAAACACACAAACACAATACTGACAGATCAGGAGATAACAAGTTAGAGCACATCAGTGTTACACAGGAATGTTCTTTTGTGAGGCAAATCTGCTGCCCCAGCTGACTGAAAAATATTTATCTCCTTTTGCTTTAACTACAAGGCAGACTGAGAAAACAGCACATACTATTGAAAACTTAATACTAAACTGCCAAGAGTAAAGCTCCTCCTGCCAGAACGCATTTAGCTGGCTTCTCCTTGCTTTTCAGATTTAAGGTTGAAATGTAAGTTGGCCCTCTGCTTTTGGTTTTATATACTGAACATTCTTACTTTCCCTTCGATCCTCTGGAATAGCCCTTACGGAAATGACTGGCATTGCAGGAGTCAGTTCCCTGAGCCGTGCTTCAGCTATGGTCCCCAGCTGGATGTCCCACCTGGAGCCTGAAGTGAACACAGGCGCACAGCTTACGTGGTGTTCTGTACTGCAAGACCAGAATAATTTGGGTTTAAGCAATTGCTTACTGCTAAATACTTAAAGCTACATTTGAACATACAGATTTAGTGTAGATTGTTGCTGGCCTGTTGTGCGTCATCTCTTTGTATGAATGTGAGGTGAGTAGGTAGCATCTGCCCAGACTGGACTTGTGGTTTCATCAGCATGGCCTTCTATTGAAAGCAGGGACCGGAAACTACTTACAGTGGGGAGTTGGAGTATGTCTGTAACTGAGTGTGCCTGTCCAAGTCAAGTGCTCAGATTTTCTCCTAATTCTCTGCTAGTTTATGGTCAAGTATTCCAAAAGGTGGAGAACTACACTGGAGTATTTAGCATATGTTTGTATCGTGAGGTATCAAACAGGTGCTTCAGTGTAGTTAAGACAGATGAGTTCTGTGCTGCTGAAGGGCCATGCGCTTTCTGAAAGCTGCTGGATTTTTGTTGTGTGTTCTTCTAACAAACCAGCATATAAAATGTTGCAGATGCTTGCTGTGGACTTAAGGACTGTTTATGTAGCAACACAAACGTTATTTTGCAATTACAAACACAGAAACACAGCAACCGCAGCTCACAAGGTTCCTCAAAGCCTTCCTCCTATCCACAGGAGGAATGAACAGTATTGCCCTTTGAGTGACAGACGTTTTAAAAGAAAATCCTCTGAAAAATTTGCCTTTCAAAAAGCAACCGTCAAATGACATGCTCGTCATTGCTCGAGATCCCCACACCCTGACTTTCCCCTTGGGGCTCATCTGGCTGTAGTAGCAACATCCTCCCAAAAGAGTTGCTTTCCTTTTATTATACGCAGGTCTAGTAAAGAGTATAAGTAATGGTGACGTTTCTCTAATTGCCTATTTGGAGTTACTCACTTTTCCTCTAATTAGCTGTACCTTGGTTGACAGCCTAAGTTAAAACTAAATCTCATTTTGACTGCTAGGCTTAAGTGTCATTCCTAAACTAGATGCTTCAGTTTTGGGAAAATACAGTTCCAAAAGAGCAAGGAACAGTGTTTGTCCTCTGAAAGTTGTTAAAAGAGGTGCTGCAGCTCAACAGATGAACACAATTTCCATTCAGGGACAGCCTGCAACCATATTACAGCTACTGCAATAATTGACTGCTTGGGAACTCAGATGAAAAATCTACTCATGTCATATTTACGCATCACCCACTTTGGTGTGTCATTATACCTCATGCTAATACAGGGGTTCTCAAGTATTTCCATGCTTCTTTGGCATGTCTTCCCAATGGCCTATAAGTATTATGGCGTAGCAAATTACAAATTCAGAGTTCTTTGCATCTGTTTATTTAGAACTGACAACTTTTTACTAAGGTGGAAGAAACAGCTTTTTTATGGTTTTATTTTGTTGGTTTGTTTTGTTTGTGGTTTTTTTCTGTTGTTTTGCTTTTTGCGTTTCTCGTGATGTTTGTTTTTAACTGCAACTGTGTAGATGGCTTAATCCAGGTTACCAACATCTGGTAACTACTAACCCCGTTCTGCACTTCTAAGAGGTGCAGAAAATTTCTAGGTGATCAGTATCGGGGTGAAATTGAAAGTCTCTGGAATAGTCTTTATGCTTCTGAACCTCAACTAGATTAGAGCTGCTGCTTTATTACAATGCAGACCTTGTTCAGGCTTAGTTAATAGTTACTTAAATGCATTAGGTATACTCAGTGATTAGGACAATAGGCTGGCCTGAAATTTAAAGTCACAGTGGACCAACATCAACAATCCACCACCATTCCTGAACTTCCTCGGTGCTGTTCATAGGGTCACAACACTTTAGTTCAACTCCTGATGGAACTTATCTACCTAATGAAGGAATCTAGCGTCCCTGAACTAGGTTACTGAGATCAAGCAATTTAAGTTAATTTCTTACCTGCCATGAAAAGCCCACAGATACAGGCTTGTCCCCTTGGTGGGTGGCCATAATCTTCTTTGGTCTTTTTGGTAACATCTGCAGTCAAGTGCACCTTATCCAAAGGCCACTTGGTTCTTGCATGCCATGCTCTGCATTAAAACTTTAAAAAATAATACTTTCAATAATTCAATATCCAGACAGTAATTTTAATGTCAGAATTGTTAACATGACCCACTTGGGCCAGTGATGCTTAAGTGTGAGACTGACTGCGGTTTGCTTTGTTTTAGTTTTGTCTTTCTTCTTCCTTTGGCCATTATTTGAAGTAAGGCAAAAAAGCTGAATGCAATTGTTTGGAAACAAAATATTTTGCATAGTACAGAACAAACCAAATCCCGCCCCAAGCACAGCAGGGGAGCAAGACTGCATTGCTGAGACACTACTTCTCTCCAACCAAGTCCCTGTTCAGAGCAAGCCCTGAACATCTAACATCTAACATCTGTTGTAGCTTGCATGCTCCTTATGTCCCCCCAGCCCTTGACAGGAACAAGTGCCCAGAAGAGAAAGCTTGGAGAGAAAAAAAAAAGTGTGAAAAATACAGTGGGGTTCCTCTGTGCCTGTGGCACAAAATGAGCACCATTTGGGGACCTTGCCATGAGCCTCAGAGAGAAGGGGAGCTGCCTGCCAGCCCTCATTGCTGCCATCCCCTTCTGCTTCCAAGTACAGGGAGAGGCGCTTCAGTGTCTGGGCTGCAAACGCTCCCTGGGCCCCCACTGCCCATCTTCTCCAGGGAGTGATGGCAGCCTGGCCAGTGTCCTGTGAGGAGCTCCTGGTCACCTTTCTGCTAGGTTAGAAAAGGATTATCTGAACGCCATTGGTGGCCATGCAGAATTTGAGATACCCTGTTACTGGGCTGTCATGTGGCTTCACTGTGGTCTTCAGAATACATGCATATGTGCTGTAACCACGGCAAAAAGTGAGACATCAGTACACTGCTGAAGATTTTTCATCCCTTACTGTGGCAGCAACTGCACAAAGAGGACCGGGAGACTGATGTATTTTTTTCTGCTTAGCGTGGTAACACTGGGTTAATACTAAGGAATAAACTGGAATGGCACCATGACATATGCACTGAATTGGTTAAATAATAACAGCAGGAAGACTTGCACTCTTAATCTTTTTTAAACTATGAAATTCAGCATTTATTTCCTTAGCTGCTTTGTCTTCATGCTTCTGAGGAGGCTGAAGACGAGTTTGGATTGTTCCCCCTCCTTTCAGGAGATTGTTATTCTGATATTCGGCCGATTTTTCTCTTTTTACTTAAACTGTGCTTAACTCTCCAGAGAGCATCACAAACCTACATAACACCAATAAATGTCTGGCAGTGAAACGATATGCCTGGTTCCTGACAACCATCGCTGCTTACCTGTCAGAAAGGACTGAGGATTGAACAAGCCAGAAAGCCACACCACTGCTGCTGGCAGCACAAGGTCCTGTGTCCAGATCTCAAAGTTCTACGTATCGCATGAGAAGATCAGTAACGCTAAAAGAAAAGCAGCAATGGCTTCTGCCTTAATCTCTTTGTACTACTTTTTTATAGACAAAATAAATGGCAGACTTCAAGTTTAAGAGTCCTTTTGTCTACAAGAGAAGGTAGACGGCTGAAGTAACCAGAAAGTATATGCTTACGTAAGCATAAGGTCATGGTTTTAGTGGAATTTGTTCTTTCCCTGATGTAGGTATGTACGAAATCAATTCTAGAAGCTGATCAGCATGAGACAGGTTGCTGGCAACAGAGAATGTGAGTATGCTCAATCCTGTAAAACTTGTTTAGGTTTCTCCCCAAGACAACATCACCATTACTAATGTTACCACACCTTCAGAGACTGCCAAAAAATAGTAACAACCATTGATGGCTTCTTAAATGCAAATTGCCTGATACCGTCTTCAGTGGTGCATTTAAACTTCCAATAAGACACAGCAAAGTCCAAATCAGGAGCACAAAAGCATCTAACAGAGACTCTGGATAATGGCGTGCTACAGCACACATCATTGCCATGAGATACCAGAGGAATTTCCAAAAACGCTGCCTGTTTTTTTTTGCTATGTCTAACCACCTGCAAGTGGATATTGCTGGTGGCAGCAGCGTAGGGGAAAAGGAATCCTGCAAGGTGCTGAACACCCCGAGCACTTGTGCCAAGGGAGGTGACGAAGCCTTGCTTTAGCAAAGTGCTTAGCATTTCTGCAAAACTCACTTCAAAGTAAAACTGACTTGCATTAAGACAGATTTTGGACAAAAAAATAAAGGGAAAAAAACCTGCTGCTTTTAGATCACTGAAATAGCTCTGTGCATAGCAGCCATACCCTGTTAGTGTAGCGTACTTACCGGTGGGCAGGGCTGTACATGGATGGATGTGCTAGTTTAGTCCATGTGTCTGGCACAGCATCGCAGAAGAGCGCAGACTGCAGCACTTCCATGTGAGGATAAAACATCAACTCCCTTTTGGAGAACAATAAATAGCATACAGGCATCATAAAGAACAGCTATTCTTTTCATTTGGGGAAAAAAAAAAAAAAAGGCAAGAAAAAGCCCCAAATTGCACAGAAGAGCAACAATACTGTTAATAAAAAAGTCACTTGCCTTCAGAGCGAGGTCCAGCTGTTTAAGAGACCTATGTTCTCTGAAAGGAGGAGGTTCACCCTCTCACACTCTTGAGGGCACAGGGGCTCCAGGCAGCAGGCATCTGCATGATTTCTGCCATGTTGAACTCCTTGGGAAGCATCTCCAGAATATCATCCAGGACATTCTTAACCTTTCCAGGCCAATACAAACAGAGCCATTAGAAATCACTGCAATCAACTCTTTTTGACTCTTCTAGTTTCAAGTCTGATTTCTTCTCTGGGGGGAGCAAACATCACGTTTTCTTAGGAGGTAAAAACCAAAGATGGTCCCCCACCTCTGCTGTCTCTTTGGCTAAAGTATTGAGACAAATGACTGCAAAACACTTAGCAGCTTCTAATTAGCTTTATGTTTTCAGGTAACACCGACCCCCAAAGCCCACCAACACATCATCCCTGGGCTTGGGATGACTGCTGTAACAAGGACGTATCCTGAGATTGCTTTGGTTTTTAGTCAAGCGTGATTAGTAGTTTGTATTTCTATAGTACCTAATACTTTTATATAATAAATAATAAGATATAATATATATAATTATATAGAATATATAATACATATATAATTAAATATAATATAAAATAGCTTTTATATCTCCCCCTCCACCGCCCACAGTCCTTACTGTCTTGGGCATTAGGCAAAATACAGCACAGGCACAGGCACACACACACACATGTCGCCCCCAAAAAAAGCCTCTCTCCCTCCTCGCAGGCCTGCTCTGGAACTGAGAGGGAACACAAATGAAAAACAGTTTGTAACAGTACTAATGAGCAGGAACTGAAATCACAACATTAATGCAGCTCAGTCTCCATTTCAGCCCTAGCTTTGGCAGGCTGAATGATGAATGCCATGTATAATTGTCCACAGTCACTAAAGTGGACGGGAACCAAATATGAAAAGCACAAGTTCCCCCCTCTGGGAAATGAAGCGTTGTTTGGCCACTTGCATGTGGAGCTGTCATATTCTCTTCTGCAAAATCCCTGTGATCTGATGGGGATATGAGAAAAAAAAAAAAAAAAAAAGAGAAAAGAGTTCCCAGAGGAAGAAGAGGGAGTAAAGAAAGGGATGGAGAGTTGCAGAAAGGGAGTGGCTGTCATGGAGGAATTTAATTAGCTCTGGTAAGGATGAGAGGTTGAAGGCTCAGTCTCGCGATACACCAGTTTTTCGGGGATCTGGACATGGTTTTTCAGGCCTACACTCAGAAAGGAAGGTGCAGAAGACAGCAGGGTCTGCTAACAGAACTAGCTGAGATTTCTGATTACATTTTCTTTTTCTGCTTATCCTTTATTCATTTAATCTATTAAGCACAACACCAGTGCTGTTCCATTCTTTAAACCCAGGCTTTTACATTTTTCTGGAATCAGTTTGGCTGTACTAAGTTATCTGGGTATCTAAGATACCTTGACTGTTGAACAGAATTATAGTGCCCCAGTTAACTCCATATTACGGGACAAAGCTTTTCTATTAAGTTTGGTCCCTTCAACCCATCATCTGATACCTTATCGGTATTAACGTTACTGTTCTGCTAAACTCCAGATTTGGTACAAGAGAGGTGCTGAGGCTACGAGGTGGTGAGACAGCCTCCTTGCCCAGATTTCACCTCTGCAGACTACCAGAAAACTAAAAATCCCTGAAAACCTCCTCCTTAGCTGCGGCTTGCAAGGGAAGTCCCTTGGAGCAGCCATGCGCCTCCTGCTCAGATCAGGAGCCCAGGAAGGGGAGTGGTGGGAGAGCGCTGTGCTTGGGCTGCTCTTCATGGCATGGAGACCCTATACATCACCGCCAGGCTGTGCTGTGAACGTGGCCGAAAGAATCGTAGAATCATAGAATGGTGTAGGTTGGAAGGGACCATAAAGATCATCTAGCTCCAACGCCCCTGCCATGGGCAGGGACACCTCCCACTAGACCAGGTTGCTCAAAGCCCCATCCAGCCTGGCCTTGAACGCTTCCAGCAATGGGGCATCCACAACTACTCTGGGCAACCTGTTTCAGTGTCTTACCACCCTCATAGTGAAATATTTCTTCCTAATATCTAATCTAAATCTATCTTCTTCCAGTTTGAAGCCATTACGCCTCGTCACTACATGCCCTTGTAAAAAGTCCCACCTCAATTTTCTTGTAGGCTCCCTTTAGTTACTGGAAGGCTGCTCTCAGGTCTCCCCAGAGCCCTCTCTTCTCCAGGCTGAACAACCCCAACTCTCCCAGCCTGAGAAAGACGCCAGGACCACAACCTGGGAGGGACTTCCTACGCTCGGCACAAGCGGGAAGGAGCAGGGAAGCTACCCAAAGCAGGAGTTGGGAACAAAGCAGAGAGGTGAAAACTAGGCTCACCACTCGATCAACCGTAACTTTTTTTAGGAAGTTGGTTGCTGTACGTGTTTATAAAAGCACACACAAAAAAGCGAGATAGATTCATCCCTTGTTCCCCCCCGCCCATTCAATTCACAGTAAAAAAAAAAGTCTGCATAACACGTTACATGTTCCTCTGGTCTAAATGCCTCCCCAGTGCAGTACATTGCACAGGCTGGCACATTATCATCACTACTATTAACAATCAGCTGAGCTTTGCTAGTTTGAGGCATTATTTTTTTTCATAGAAATTAAGTCTCTTCCTGAAATAACACAGTAAGATGTGTGCTCCACATGTCATTAACAGCACCAACAGTGCACCAGATGAACTTCGCCTTTTCCTCTGTAGACTGGCCTGATCCTGCTCCTATGAATAAATTCATGGGTTGCACTTCCAAAATAGCTTGAAGAGATAATCTTAGGGTGCAGTCCGTATACTACAGGGATTTCAGATGGAAGCATTTAATCTATGTATTTATGGTATCCAGCATAATCCAGATTTGGTGGGGCCAAACAACCTGGTGCCAGAGACAGCTCCCCTTCAAGATTCTGTAAAAGAATCAATAATGTTACTGATAATGCTGTCACCAGTTGTCGAAACATCCTTCTGCATCTACAAAGTTTCAGAAATGGACATGACACCTTTATGTTCTGATACAGTAGAACAGGGTTACCAAACTGTTTTTACCACAGTTACAGTTACTGTGGCCAGCAGGTCAAGGGAGGCGATCCTGCCGCTCTACTCCACTGTCGTGAGACCCCACCTGGAGTACTGCGTCCAGCTCTGGAGTCCTCGACTTAAGAAAGACATGGACCTGCTGGAGTGTGTCCAGAGAAGAGCCACGAGGATGATCCGAGGGCTGGAGCACCTCTCCTATGAGGAGAGGCTGAGAGAGTTGGGGCTGTTCAGCCTGGAGAAGAGAAGGCTCCGGGGAGATCTTATTGCGGCCTTCCGGTACCTAAAGGGGGCCTACAGGAGAGCTGGGGAAGGACTTTTTACTAGGGCATGTAGTGACAGGACGAGAGGGAATGGGTATAAACTGGAAGAGGACAGGTTTAGATTAAACATTAGGAAGAAGTTTTTCACTTTGAGGGTGGTAAGGCACTGGCACAGATTGCCCAGAGAGGTTGTTGAGGCCCCATCCCTGGAGGTGTTCAAGGCCAGGCTGGACGTGGTCCCTGCCCATGGCAGGGAGGTTGGAACTCGATGATCTTCAAGGTCCATTCTATGATTCTGTGATTCTACTATTCACACATCTTTCCGACATTCCCATTTTCTGCAGTCTTGAAATACTGTTGCTGCTTCCTTCATAAGGGTGCTCTGAGGTTTATTTTAAGGACTGTCACTGCCGAGGCGGGTGTATTTTGAGTACTGAATTTCTGCATCCCCTCAGCAGACAAGCAAGGATTATTATGCCATTTTGCAGATGAGACTCTGAGACACAGGACAGAGTCACACAGAACACCCGTGGGAGAGGCAAGACTGGAGACTCAACTCACCTGAACCCCCATCCCAATAACACATGAGCCACAACATTAATTCTGCTTGGTGTGTCGTTGATTAGGGGCTTTGCATGAACACGCTGTGCTCACAATAGCCTTAAAGAGGTTACAGGGAGCAGCAGGTCAATGAGACAATTAAATGGAGTGTGGAAACGGGACAACACATGTCAGTATTTGTGCAATTCGTAGCTTGTCAGAAACAGTGATCCCAATCCACTTTCCACATAAATGGTTGCCAGTTAGGACACTTCTTTATGTGTTGATGTCCCTTTCTTTCTCATCTGCCTGGCTGTTAACACCCAGGAGCTGGAACAGAAAGGAAAAACATGCTCCTCTGTTCCATCTCTTCAAATGTAGGAGTCTTGCCAAAGCAGCAGTGCCTCAATGAGATAGATAGTGGTGATAATTTTCACAGCAGAAAAAAAATTAAGGTCTCAACCAGCTCAATATTGAACCAAATACTATTAACTGAACCTTTCCTATAGAACAGGCAGGCCCTGTCCCTGTCAGGACATTAAAGATAAGACTTGGGACTTGGGAACAGGTCAAGAATTAAGTAGGTAGACAGAGGGCTTTGGTAAGATGGACTCTCGGGGGGCTGCCCTCCTACTGATGACAGCACAGAGCAAAAGCTGTAGCAATCACATTTATTTTCCAGGCTCCCTCAGCTCCGGCACTGGAAGGACTTCACTGGATTCAGAGTTTCTCTGAACTTATTGTCACAGAGCTGTCTGGGATTTAAACTAGACTTGGAAGTTGTTTTTGCTGAAAAATATTTCTGCTCTAAGTGGTACTTTTCACAGGAGCTATTTCTTCCTAATGCAGGGTCCACTCCACAAAATCACAATAAAATTTAACAGCTTTTGGCATTTAGAACAGTCAACAACAAGCTGCTGCTCACAATAACACCAGTAAGCACTTATTTCTGAAGTCACTTTGGTTCTGCAACCAGCCATTTACCTGCGCCTGAACCTGTACCACTAATCTCACCCACAATAAGCTATGCCTTAAGATGCCACTTTGAAGTAGTGCTGAGGTTTGAGAGGAAAAAAAAAAGCAAAAAAAAAAGCCCTATTATTCACCTTGAGTGGAAGATCAATTCTGTTCAGACAATCTGTACTTACCAGTCTCTCTCCTGGCACTTAAATTGGGTTTTACTGTATTCCTGGGAGTCATGCGCACGGAGGGAGGCTGCGGGTTATGGAGGTTCACGGCAGGCACTTGCCGCCCTTCTGTCCTTACAACAGATCCCAGATGAGCTACAGCGAAGCTGACGTACAGTGGTTGATTGTAACACACCTCGTGGAATGAATTTGTAGCTAAAAGAGCTCATCAGTAATGCAAATAGGTAAAAGAGAAGGCAATCTTCCCAACGAACACAAAGCACCAGCGCTGATGGAAGGTGTCGCCATCCTGTTTGTGTCCATTTGGCTGCCAGTCAATAAATGATTTGCTGGTTTTGCTGGTAATTTAGGGCTTTAATGTTTTCTAATTACTGCAAAAAGCTTGGAACGATATCTCACTATTTAAAATACCAGTGGATCCAGGCACGGGTTTGGGTCCCTAAACTTTCCAAAGGCCATACAAATAGCAGTGATTCTGCTCAGGTTTCACCACCTATACTTATTTTACAATTATTTGAATGTAAGTTCAGGCTTGTGAAGGTTAATGGACTGCCGAAACTGGAAGCAGTAATTCTTTACTTATCCATAGGCTAGAGGCACAGCCGGAGCCGGCAGGATGAGCTTCCCACCATGCCCCTGCGACCTCAGCTGTCATTTGGAGAAATCAGCCTCCGCCGAGGTCAGGAGTACAGTGGTGTTTAGCCTTTCCATCTCCATGGCAACTTACTCTTGGGCATCTTCTTCTGAGCAGTTACTTCCAATTGCCTTCATCTGAGTGTGGCTCTTTGACATATGAAAACCCACTCGTTAGGGATGGAGGACGCACCAGCCAGCTCCTCTCTCTCTCCACCGAAAGGCAAGCTTCAGCTGCATCGCCGAGGGGGAACAGTGCACTTTCCCCAGGTTAGCCAGGCTCTGCAAGTGTCCTGCTCACACCTAACATGCTAATTTTCTTTTTTTTTTTTTTTCTCCCAAATAAGCTTTTTACCTTTGGACAATGAAAAATAACAAGTCTGGAAAGGGCACTTGAAAAATCTCTCGGCTGATTTTAGCAAATAGTGTACAATCTGTTCTCTAAAATGACTAGGTCAGCAGTTTAGAAGCAGCCAGTTGGGTTTTTTTAATTTATATATTTACCCCCCACCCCCATATATACCTCCACATTTTATATGAATGTATGTATATGAAAATAGATTAAAGTAATTTCTGTGCACGGCTTTTTAGAACTAAAGTTAAAGCAACATTTTCTTTTTGTATCCTCAAAATTTCTAACATTTGTTTCTGATTAGAAGCAACTTTGGCAATCTTGCACCTTGGACTCATGGATGCTGCACATACACTGCTGTCCAGGACCAAAACTCAATAGTGAAAGTTGAATAATTCTGTACATATCAGCTGGTGATAATCTGACAAAACTACAGAAACAGATGCGCGAGAGGGTGATGGGAAATGAGAAACAGTCTTACAAACAGTTTTCCCTATTTAGAAACAGGAAAACGCAAGGAAATGTACAAGATTTCCATTCTATGATATATCTGGAGAAGGAAACATACAAACAGTAAATATAAGTTTTGAGGATAGTGTCAATCTGGACAGCTGTAACCGGTGAGTCTACCAGTTACGTTAGTTAAAGTGCAGTTCCATAAAAGATACTTTCCTGTGCCCACCCAGACCTTTCTGAACGGAAGCACCTTAAATGAGAATAGTTTTATTAGGAAAATGGAAACGTAAATGTACTATCCCCTAAAGTCACTAAGCTGGCTATGCAAGCAGTGTCACAAAACACTGAATTCAAGTTGCTGAGTAAGGGTCTTGCAAAAGTATATAAACAAACGATATGCCAAGCCACAAACCCTTGCAGACCAAATCTGCTCACGATGAATCACTGTAACTCATTACAAGTTGGAGAATTTACTCCTCCATGGCCAGATGAGACCTTGCTACAGGTGGGGCTGCTTAGATGAGAAAGCTTGTAGCCTTCCCCGCAAGGGTCCAGTTCTGAAAGATGACTTTCTCTTAGGTTGTACATACTATACACATGTTCAAGAGCTTTACGTATGTATGAAAGTTCTCACCATAGCTGGGCTGATGAATTCTTGCAGATACACACAGCAGAGCCTTCGGTCCCAGACGTCGGTGATGTGGCCACCACACATGATCTCACCAGAGGTAGACCTCACCAGGTCTTCCCACGGAACTTACCTAGGGCACAGAATGCATCACTGAATAAAACAAGTCAGCTTTCTAAAGGCCAAACCAAAGCTGCTCAGAATAAACACTGTTAAGAGAAACAAAAGAAATTAAAATACTTCCTTTCCGAAAGCTTCATGGTTATATATTCACATTGCTGGGTTTTATTTGTTTAGCAAATAACTACATTGAAACACAGATCTCTTTTATTCCAATCCAGTGAGAGGTATCTATAAATATCTGAGTCAAAATACCAAGTTTGTGACTAAAATTCAGTAATAGTGTAAAGTGTATCATCTGAGCCTTGTGTCTTGTTTTCTACCTTATCCCTTATAAAAAGCTTTTAAGAGAAAAGTACATTTTCCAAACACTGCATGATATAAGAGAACATAACTCATTAACAAGCACACGCATGTATTTTCCCATACAGATCTTTAAAAACATAATCCTCATGAGTGACAGGAAGGTAACCTACTGTGCCTTTCTTAGAGGAGAAATAAAAAACTTGTATCTGATTGCAGTCTTTTATATCTCCTCACTAGGAAACACTCAGTAACTGAAATTCTGCATTATTTGAATTTGGGATGTATTCAAGAACTTCGGTAAAAATTGAATTAATATTAATCCCATTACTACCACATCACATAAGCATTATGCTTATTGTAGAACTCTAGTCATAATGCCACGGTTATAGCATGTGATTAACAATGGTAACACATTTTATTCAAGGAACTACTATCCTTCTCTTTTATTTGGCTTCGCAGAGTTTGAAGCTTCTTTTCGCTACCCTTTGGTTTGCAAAATATGCCAGTTTGTGATGAAGCCTTTCCAGACAGGAACCTTTACGCCCCTGGGGGCAGTATTTGCCTCCCAACAGTTCAAATAAAAACTTAATTATAGGCTTTAAATATTGCATGATGTGACAGAACAGAACAAGTAAAATAGCTGCAGCTATTCCAGACTGCTTGCTACAAGTTTATTTCAATTTGAATATGTGAAACTCTAATCCATCTTTCTTTTAAACTGGTTTGAAGAGAATGAAAAAAGAAGAAGAAGAAGAAAAAAAAAGGCCACTGGAATATAATATGCAATGCTGCAGGCTGGTGATGAGAAGCCTGAAGAGAGAATCCCTGTGAAAAATGCCAACAACTTGGATTTAGAATGAAACATTCTCGCAGTGAGAATAAACCTGCTTTTCTCTTTGTTGGCAACAGAATCACATTTAATGTTTTTCTAATTTCATATATATTTATCTCAAGAAATGCCTTTTTCCTTTGTCTTTTAGAAGAGTGTATCGATATTCTAACTCAGTACAAGCTCATTCAGCTGCACACTTCTGGGGCATCGATTACACTGGGATAATCAAAGCTTGTGCTATAAAAGGGACATTTTTGCTAGTATGAGAAAACCGAAGGGTTTGCATTAGAAATATTTTGGGCTGTCAGGCTTGCATAATTGCCATTGTACTCTGTAGAAAACTGGGCTGTTGTACTCAAAAAACCACTGAGCCATTGCTCAGGTGGATGGATACAGTGAGGACAGAGTCCACATCCCCCTCGCAACATCGAACGACAGCTCCATGAATGTGCCTGTGGGGATCAGAAAGCGGAGGGGAAGAGCAGGACGATGAGGCAGGATCAGGCATCCTGCACTCCACCTGTGGAGACCTGTGGAACTATCAGAGGTTGGTGTGGAGGAGTTCGTCTTCACATCGGGAAAATGTGTGACGTCAAGCTGAGATGTGAGAAGATTAGATACTCATAGGGGAGCACCATAAACTGGTGTAAGTGATGATGGAGTTCGGGCAATTTCCACTAGTTGATAAACTAGCTCAAGTTTCCCAGTTTATGATTTCTGGTCAATCCCTAATTGTCTTACACAAAGTTGTCCCCAAAGTATACTCAATTGGGAGATTTTATATACACACACACACACATACACACACACCCCGAGTCATATACATGGATATATACAAACAAAGTCACATTTTAAAAAACTATGTTCTCTTTTCTCTCCTCAATATCTGCATTAAAGCCAGAGGGTAATGAATCATTAACCAATACAATGAAAAGGGCCAATAAGCAATATTACTAAGAGGAGAGAAGAAATAATTCTCACTCTTACAGACCTTTCTAGCCTACCTGCCATCAGAACCCTCCCTCTCATTAATTAGCAAAATTAATTATCCAGCTTACGAATTGTGGTTTGAAAAGAACAGAGCTTAGAGCAGCAAGATTTATTAGCAAAGAAAACTAAGGGTTGGAATAAGCTGATTTTATAGACTTGTTTTCTAAATGGGAAGCATTATTAAATCATCACTATAAAATTAAGCAATTATTTCACTATGACACCGAGTACCACAGTAAGGAAAAACAGTTTCATGTCCTATTAGCTAAATAAAGGTCAGTAGGGCTAAAAAGAAAAAAGGAAAATTAATTTCTAAGAGTAAATACAAGTTGGGAGATATGGAGAAAACCGTATCATCAAGGGGTGATACTTCCTTCTCTTTTTTTCTTGATAAATAACTTAAATTTCTTTAAATTAGTAAAATGGGAGGACCTATTCAGTACTATCCTATATCATTCAGTAATAAATAATTATTGCTTTTATGTAGGCATTTCATATACAGAACTTTAACAAATGACCTCAACTGAGTATTTAAACTATAGAAGTGTGAAATATGCTGTAGCTCAGAAATAAAATCACTCATCTACCCTTAACTTTGACTCAAGGGGAACATTACTGAGAAAGTCACAACAAGGTGGCATCCTTAATACATAATAATGACACATGCAGGAAATGCACCATTATTTATACATGTGACGTGCTGTAAATTGCTTCCATCATCAGAACTAATTGTAGTGATTATTAATGCAGTGTTATGAACTGTCAGAATTGCTGTATGTAATTACATTTGTGCAAATGCTTCATTACCTGCCTAATGAATTTGGCATATATGCACATGTAAACCACTGTTTTTGTTAACATAATGAAGGGCATTTTTTTCCCCCCTTAGCTACTGATGTGGAACTGGTTTGACCTATATTACAAAGTTCAAGCATCCATTGCCAGAAAAAAAAAAACCACACAAACACCCTCCACCCCTCTCTTTTGATCTTGTTTATTTTCATACTCAGCAACAGCATCGTAGAATGCCAGCTACCTAAATAACAGTCACCCTTATTCAGTATAAACAGCTGATTGAGTTGAAATGACCTTGGTGTGTGGTTACCTGACCACTACTTCCTACCTTCGTGTGGATCTCTAGATAGTTGTGGAGGACAGTGATGCAGACGGGGAGATCTCTAGCACTGAAGGGGTACCTTCCATCCCAGCCCTGAGGGCCAAACTTCAGTCTCCCAGCAGCACAAGTGTGAAAACAGCACAGAGAAAACAGGATGCCTTTAAATTCCCTTTCCCCGGTACACAGTTGAAGGGTATCCCGATGGAGAAAAAAAGGAGTACATTTATCCAGTTAACACCCGGCAGTGTTGTCGATAGCTGTGCCTGCCTCAGCTGCCGAACGGCAGCACTAGCAAGCCTGGAGTTTGAAGGAGAGTGAGAAACAGGTTTCTTCGTGATCAGTGACTATCAGGCAGCAGTTCTTGCAGTAACAAGCAAAAGTGTTGATGGTTACCTTTTTATTTCCAAATGTCCCCGAGGAAAGAGAACTGTTGTGCTACTGAAACCAATAAAAATAGAGGCTTTAACTAGAACTCTATAGATATTACTCAAATAACCGCTATAGTTTCTCAGCATAAATCACCCATAGACTTTATCCTAAGTAGAAAATTTGCCAGTTTAACATTTATTAAAAATTATACTGTTCCTTCAAATTTTACACTGTTTCCTAGAGTCATGTTTGAAAGTGAAGTTTAATCATTTTTCTTTTGCCTCTTTTGTTTATAGCGTTAGTAAAGAATCTCCGCAAAATGGGATGCTGTGCTGGGCTTCAGCTGCTCTTTAAATTACTGAGTAAAACTATTTGCCATTTTCCTATAAAAACTGCAGAGATCCATTCTCGGTTCTCTGCAAGTTTTCTATACTCTATCTTTCAGTTTAAGAAGTAATTGACATAACAAAATGACTTTTGATACCCATAAAAACATGGATGTGTAGAAGGAACTTTAGAGGGATAAGCTCTTCGCTGTCAAAAGGAAATAGGTCATCCTGAGCCGAACAACAGGTAGCAAAGTCTGAGCAGAGGTGAAGGATTTTATGTCTGGAAGAAAACCCTCCTTAAGTCAGAATCCTGAGTTTAACCAGGAAAAACAGAACACAATCTTCTACCCTGAAGAAAACCACAAAAAATGAAATTTATTCCACCTGGATTAGGTATAGTTTGATTTTCTTATTACAATTCTTTTTTTTTTCTCCCCCCAAAATTAAAATAACCATATTATTAGTATGTACAGGAATTTGTAGTAAGCCACAAACAGCCATGGCTCAAAGTAATGGGGGAGAAAAGAGAGTTTTCTAAGGTACTGAACTGAGAAATTAGCTAATTAAAATACATATATATATTTCTTATACTGAACACAGCCTGAAGTGGGACAACAATGCATATGAATTGCCTTTATTAAAAACTTTGTCTATCTTTTTAGTAAAAATATTATAATAATGTTATAAAAAAAAGAAAAAAAAATGCTGCATTAATACTTGTCTGTTTAGCTACAAAACCACAGTGATTCTTCCTTTCACAGAATCACAGCATCTCCTAGATTGGAAAAGACCTGTAAGATCATCTAGTCCAATCATTAACCTAACACTGACAAGCCCACCACTAAACCGTGTATCTTTCTGAATCACCTCATACCATCAAAATCAGTCCATTTGTAGCCAAAGTAGCTTCGACACGGCTCTTTTAGTGCACGGCTCTTTTTTTCTAGGCATTGCTTAGCAGAGTTGCCTTTAAAAGAAACTCTTACCCTTTTCGCATCCAAGCTCTGCCTTCACGTGTCCTGTGCTCAAATAAATACACGCTAATACACTGCTGGAAGGCTAAAGTGTACAGTTATGGTTGCCTTTATCAGGGTCTGCTTTGCTGACACGAATCTTTGATTTGCTCCAGTGCTTTCACAGCTGCAGGGAAGCTGACTTGCACTGAGCTTGAAGATCTATCTACAAGTTCCTCAGGGTAACAGGCTGGGATAACTCCAGGGATCTGGATTGAAGGAGGCTACGCACGTCCAGTCACATCCCTGTCCTCCACATTTTCATGTCTTCTTTCTCCTGCTTCTTTCTCCCCACCCACCAAGCAGCTCTGCAGGACCTCACATAGGGTAAGAGCAAAAGACAAAAAAACCCCCAACAAACAGCATGTAACCCTTGCTCATTCATTCCTTTCCTTATGCCTAACTCCAGGAATTCATACACAAGGTAGTCAGCCATTGCCTGAACATCTGGGTACATAAACCCACTCCGTGGGAGAATGGACATGGTCAAACCAGGTTTGGAGCTGAGCAAAGTTCGCGAGTACCATTGAATGAAAGAGCTCTGACTTTAGAGCATGGACAGGTTTTTTTCATAAGACTGCACCACTGGGTAAAGCCGGTGCGATAAATGCACTTCTTTCTATTTTTGTAAGCACACCTATGCGTGTCTACATCTACTAATACAAATGCATGCATTATTGTCACGCATTTTCTCCTGCCCAACATGGATGGGACACACAAAAGCAGCGCAGGCACAGAGAGCTGGTACCCTGCAGCTGTCGGGTTAGTTTGGAAGTACAAAGATCCCAAAGTTCTGGTCTCCTACAAAGCTGCCATCAATGTTACCACTTCTCCCGACAGCGGAAGGATTAACTAAAACAAATGAATGGGGGGGGGGGGGGGGGGGGGGGGAAAAAAAAAAAACATTTAAGGAGGAACAGGCTTGAAATTCTGGAGAGCTATAGAGTTCTATAATGGTACTGTTTTCCTTAAATCAAATTATATTATAATTAGGAGGGGAAAACCTGTCTTTGAAACTTGCTACTTTCTTCCAAAGAGAGTGATAGTTGCTATTGAGCGCAAGGGCAATAAAAAAAAATATGGAGGGGGGGGGGGGGAGGGGGGGAGAAAAACAAAAAGAGTATATCTTGCTTTTTACCTGGTCAAAACTGTAGAGCGCAGCATGCAAATTAGTCAGCATCCCTGCAGAAGGTTCGCTGGTAAGTTTAATCGAGTTTTCTAGTGTTCCTTGAGGAATGAAGTGTTCTTCTGGGGGTGGAGCTGGTTCAGCACTGATAATGACATGGAAATCAGGATGGCTTTCTTCACTGTATTGCTCAAGGAGTTTTTCCAAGGTTCCTAGCCACTTGGCTACAAGATGAAAATCTGTTGAAAAACAGCCAATACGGTTATTGTGGGAAAACAAATAAATTTGTCATCCTTTAGACATCGTTATTGTGGCTTTATCATGGAAAATATTTATGTTACTTAATTCAAAGCTTTATTTTATTATTAAATAAATTGATAATACAAAGAATGAATTTGAAGATTCTTAGCTACTGCCATTTCTTGATATATGTTGAAATAACAGGTATATGGTTTCACCATTAGCCTCTAAAGTTTCAGGCCTTGATTCTGAAGCTAATGAAAATATTACAAACTCAAGGTTAAGGGATCTGGGGGTGTGGGTGTTACCATGTGTAAAGAGAAGGATAACTCAGCAGAAACTGGGAAAGGCTAGGGGGGATCAGGAAGCCGGGAAAAGCTGTGAAAGTTCCCTGTAGAACTGGGACCTAAGACAAAACATGTGCAATGCATACCAGGAGCAAGACTGAAGAAGTTCTAGGCAAAGAAAAATGTTTACAGCTATCCTGCTACTTAAAAAACATGTTTCGTACCACTTCAGAGCCTAATAGTCTTTAAGGTTCTTAAATATATGAAGACAGTGGATCAGAGAAGTGAGTTATAATGGAAAAGTATCTGCCTCCAAAGCACCTACTGGTCAAATATGGGAATATCAAAAGAAATGCTTAAAATGTGGCTGCTACAGCTGTCTTCACCCCTCCGTTAGCCCACACTCCACTTTTTTTGGTTACAGTACTAGTATTTCAACTCAAATCACAGCTCAGACGTGCAGCTTCTCTTTAGGTCTTCATTCGTGGGCCAGAACCTGCTGATTACACTGGCTTCCATCTCTGTGCAGTGCACGAGGAATTACAACTCCATACGCCAGCCAAGGAATATGACATGTCAGTCACACTCTGGCTGCTGCATCGCTTTATCATGAGGCCCACTGAGGGGTTATTCCCAAATTGTCCCTTGACACGCAGAAAAAGGAATAGGGGAATGGAAAGAGAGGGAGACTTTCACATCGCATTACGTGGTAGCTGCCTGGCGGCGCCTGCATTTTCGTATAGGCTACATCCATCCACTGAAAAGTGGAAGTGATTCAAGCCTTAATATAATAACAAAAAAACCATTCGATGTATCAGATGTCTGAGTTTGAGAAATCAGAGTGACAGAAGAGTTAAACCTGTCACTGAGAAATTTGAAGTCAGTCTTTCTTCTGCCAGTTTACCAACCACTGTGCCAACTGGTTTTGCTGGATTTGAACCCAAAGCAATTTTTGAAGTATTTTCCAGGTCAGTCAGAATAGCGGGGTTGGGTGGTTGTTTTTTTTTTAATATCTGATTGTACACCCCCTATCCTCCAACAACATTCATAGTAAAATACTACATCTTTTTGCTCCAGGATTTTTTTTTTAAACATAAAGATATAAGGATTTTGGGCCAAGACCCAGAAGACTGAAGCTTGAGAAGCACTGAGTACATCCAAATCCCACTAGCTCTAGCCTGCTTAGCACCATTTGGGATTTGCTCCAACATCTTTATATAGTCTCCTTTTGGACTTTCCCCAATCCTTCACTATCAAAAATCTTCACAGCAAAGTCGTCACCTCCCTTCTCCCTCAGAAGCCAGGCATATCGGGCTGGAAAATGGAGCAGGTCTGTAACACCAGAAGCCTCTCAGATGTTCCCCATTTATCCCTGTGGCTTCAGACACACAACACCGCTGATTTAGGGCCTCTGCCATCTCCCCATTTTTTTCGCCCTGCCCCCAGAGCAGCTGAGCACTCTGAAATTCCCCTGAAAACCAACTCTCCTCTTTCCTTCACAACAACATTTCTATACTCTCTAGCAGAAAAGCGGGGTTATTTTCAGACCAGCGTGACTGGCTTACTCGTGTGAAACCTGGTTAAAGAATTCTTCCAATTTCACTGTTGATGAAGGGGTCAGTTTGTGCCCGTTTGCACAGTGCCGAGCACACCAAGGCCGCTCACTGATCCCACAGTGATTTTATTTCAGCCGGCAGACAACACTGAGTCTAGCCCATCTCTTCATTTCTTGCAGGCAACCTGGTTGACAGACAAAGGTTGCTGAGGTTAAAACCAGAAGAGGAGGGAATCACCCCGTCCCCATCACCTTTTTAATACCAAAGCCTGGAAGGTGCGTTTCTTGTTTGGCTTCAGGGCAAAGGGGCTGCTACAAACATCCATTGGTTATCTAGCACAAAATGGTGGGAGGGGAGTACCTTCATTCAGTAGCACGAACAATTGCAGTGCTCCTGTCCATCCCGTTATTGTGGCGGGAACCGCAGCTCGCCAGGACGTTGCGCAGATCTTTTTGTCCGCTGCCGAGTGGGTTCTCGGTCCATACAACGCTGGCCGAAGCTGCGGCTGCTATCTCAGAAGAGCAGCACTGCAGGGATAATTATACAGCTTCCCAAGGGGGAGTCAGACCCATTTCATGAAAGTCTCCATTATGGCCCACTGAATGGAACAGGAGCTCTTAATTACGCGGGGAAAGCGTATGCCTGAGCGCAGTCCTACCTACCCACTAGAGGCTTTCTCATTTATCTCGTTCCTCCTGGGACGGTGAGGACAGTGTTCAGCAAAACATGACATACGCTCTATTTATATGATGTTTATCCTGTTACCATCAAAAGCAAAAAGAAACAAGATTATTAGCAAAATTAGATTATTAACAAAACTTCTGTTGTAATCCACTGCCTATTTTGTTTGTGTTCTGGGAATATCCCTCCAGCTGAGGAGACAGTCCCCATCAGAGGGGCTGTTTGACACTCACTTGGAAAAGAACCCAATGGCCATGTCTGGCAGTCTTCTTGAGCGCCTCCTCTGCAACCATCTCCTGCCCTTGTCCTCGAGAGATGTTATGAAATCTTCCAGAGTCTATAGTGAACCCAAGCTTTTTGCCTGTAAAAGAAATAATTGGGGAAGGGTGATTGACAGAAGGGGAGGAGATAGGAAAATTAGCAGAGCAGAAAGGAAAAAGAATGATAATGCCCCCATTAATTTCACTATCACTTGTGCAATGCATATTACTTCTTCTGAAGCACTTCACTAAACCCTTACAATTTCAACAGCAAAATTGCGAGCTCTCAACAGTGGCCTTATTGCTGGTATTAGAAAAAGCCTGCGGAAATCTGTTCCCTTGGTTTTAAGATAATGAACCTTTTGACATTTTGATAGATGCTCGGCATTGTTACTGAGCTTTAGAAACTCTTACAGGGGGTACAGAGCAATTCCCTTATGAAAAAGGGAGCAACATGTGGTAGATATCACATCAGTTTTTTAACTGATTGGTTCAGTGGGTAAATGCACAAGCATCTCACCTTGTGAGGCCTGAGTTTAAATTGAGCACAGTGAGGTCACAGCTGTATTAACCTGGTATTCTCACTATTGTCTGTGGGGAATAGTAATCCTAAGTATAAAGCCACAGAGCCCTATACAATTGAATATAGTTTGTATAATGACCATTATTTAGTCACAGGGGGCACAAGATTACATGAGCATGGAGAAAATTGCCCTCTGGCCCTCATCTAGTCAAAAGGTAGAAAACAGTACAAAGGAAACCTGCATTATGCCAAGCAGAGGAATGCTCGGTCTAAAAATTTCTTCATACTGTAGTGCTTATGGCCTTACACTTTTCATCCACCCCATTTACCGTGAATATGGTGGGGGTGGAAGAAACTTTAGAATCTTCTGCTGAAAACCAACCGTGCCCAACTTTCCCATAGTAATGCATACTCCATCGTAGTGACAGATGATTCCACAAGGCTTCATTCTGTTTGGTAAAAATACACCCGTACAAGTATGTGTGTATGGACACATACACACAAGCGTATAACCGTATATGGATTTATCTACATTTCTAGCCATGTATGCTCCATTTCACTTTTGAGCTCAATTTTTCTTTCTTTAATAGGAGGACAGTTGAGTGGTCCTTGCACCAGAAGCAAGTAAGAGGCTTACCTGGTGTCCCAATATCTTCAAGTGGGTCTACTCCGGGAGACAGCATGAAAAACAGAGGATCGGCTCGACTGTTGTCTTACAGGATTTTGCTAAATCCATCCTTGTGTTTTCTGCATATCTTGAGCCAAGCTTTTCATCCACAAAGTTCCTATACATAAGAAGAAACATGCACTAAACACCAAAAATGTTCCCTGATACAAGCTTCAAGCCTGCATCATTCTCAGACTTGAGCAGCCGACAGCAATGGTCTAACAGTGATTTCATCAAAGAAATTATCAGGGAAGTGCACTGAAGGCAAGAAGGAAGGCAGGTGGTCAAGTAAGATAGAAGATGATCATTCCCATTTCTCTGTGGGATAGGGACTGTGTGACAGAAAACAGCAACTTCTGAATGAAAAGGACCTCTTCAATAACTGAATCCAAGAAGCCATATGAAGGCAATGCTGTCATGTAAAGCCAGGGCAGCTGGGCAGAATAAACACCCAGGACACAAAACCTGCATTCTCAGAAGGCGTGTAAATGGGTAAAAGCTGTGATGGCGGGGTGTGGAGGATCACGTCTATAAGACCATCACTTGGGACCAAAAGATCAAAACAGTACAACCAGAAAACAGTTGGGAGAAGATTGGTAAGTATCCACAACTGAATCTTTTTTGGTACTGCAGAATTTTAAAGAAGGGAGACCTGAAAAATTGTCATCCCATGGGGTTAGCTACCAGCCTTAATACCATAATGAGAACTAACACTAAGAAATACACTTTCAGCTATTAACAGCATAGCTTACTATATTTCCATTTATTAATTAGCACTCTCCTCCCGGTACCCATATGCAATCTAAAAGAAACCACAAGCACAGATGTCCAAATATGCCATGACTCATGTCTCACCACACTACCTCCTCATAAACTCTTCACCAGCAGACTAGACTGGGAAGAACCACAGCTATTGATTTCAAATTCTGGTTGATGACCCAGTTTTATAAGTTATTTGGTTGCCTCTTAAGATCTGAGTTTTCCCTGTGCTGACATATAAAAACCAAGCCACCCTCACACAAACTTGCCCCGCAAGACATACCCTCAGATTTCATACCTAGGAGCCTACGGCTTTTTGTCCAGACGGAGTGCCCTCCATATGATTAGTTTCTGAAGAGAGCTTTTGTTTGTCCATTCCTGGGGGGCCTTTTCCTTTTCTGGAATTCTGAGGCCACCCACTTCTTCCACCTCTTGGTGGATCTTTCAATATCTTTATCTAACCCCCTGAACACATCCATCACTGCCACAGCCTGGAAGCACACCAAATACAGAAGCATAAATACAGATGATGTACATTCTGCATGAAGATTGAAATGGGAAGACAAATACTGATATTTTTGGGAGTATGTAAAAAAACATAGTTTGACCAATTACAGAGGACTCAGGACCTACCTTAAAATCCTAACTAAATTACATATACACACACACACACACAAATAATATTCTTTATAAGAGTTTACTTTGGTCAGTATTGATGAAGACCAAGATTGTATTTTTAGGGGACTGGACGAACTAGCGTAAAACAGAATTTCCTCACAAAGCACAGTACATGATGTGTACAAAAAAACACACTCAAAAAGCAAAGACGACAAGTCTTTGAAAGCATCACTAGTTCTACTAAAAATTACGTTGGAATGTATGACTTCATCTGAAATTGTCTAGTTGTATCATGCCTCCAGAAATAACATAAAAAAAGATTTATGAAAAGCAATTTTCCCAGCCTACCCTAATGGCACTCCATGACTGAGTAGTTAAGAAGTCAACAGGACTCTTGTGTGTTCAACTCTGAATCGAAGAAGGAAATCCAATTCATGGAGTCTATCTCTTTACTTCTTAGAAGAATCTTAACAGCATACAAAATTGAAAAAGGTCATCAGATTTTCTTCAGAGCCACTGCTGCCTTAAAGTATGCACTGCTCAAACAGTAATACTACTGAGTAGGGAGCTCAAAACGACAAGAATTCCTATGGCTGCATTTTTTGAAACTGATATAGGAATTTACATCTTGTTTTAATGATATTTTTAAATATTTATTTGAAATCTATTGCAAATGGAATGATATTCTTAGATATTAGTCACTAAAGGGTGTGACTAATTTTTTCAAAACCCCTTCTACAAAGACAGACCTGCACTTTCCTTTACCTGTTAAAAAAGACACCACGAAAACCAAATACAATGTGTTGGTGAAAACTTTTTGCAGAAAAAATAACTTCATTTGTGTATACATATAATTTTTATATATAATATATATACTATATATATATATTATACATATGATATATATAATACATCTATGTACTGAAAGACAAATTCACCCAAGTTTTAAGATGAGCTAACTGAAAACAGCAGTTATTTTACTTTAGCTTGTGGGAACATAAACACACATAAAAAAGTAAGTCTCGCACACTGAAGTTAACCTTAGATAAACTTGGCCACAAATTATTTCATACTAGTACTACTGAAAAAGTGTAGATTTCTGAATTCCATCTAATTATCCCTATGTATCCTTTTTACGTCTTGGAAGATAGAGAGAAGAACAAATAGTGCACAGCTGTTTCCATCACCATTCTAAGCCCTCTTCAGACTGCAAGCCGTCACAAACCTTTGGGAAATTTGCAAATCCTGAGTGGTTTTTGTTGTCAGTTTTTGTTTGGGGGTTTTTGAGGTGTTGTTTTACACTGAATCAGTTCTGGCACATGAGCTGTATGTATACTGAGGAAAACTCCTCAGGCTCTACGAGGGGTTTTTCTAGTTCTTTTATCGCTTTAATGACATATAGTGGGGGGAAAAAAAGACACCTTTGCCACGATACCATATATTCTCTCTCATTTGTGATATAAATACATCTTTCTTCCTCTATTAAAGCCCGCCCTCTTTCCATCTAAAAATGTAGTTAACAAATCAGAAGTTTATTGTGCCCTTTACTATGGTTTCCGTCTGTTCTGTAGTAGCGATTGAGCTTATTTTTTCAGTTGCTGTACAGATTTCCATTCTTCATGACCCATCCCAGTACCACTGCTACCAAAAAAAAGACAAAAGTTAAGCAACAGTGCTAGAAACCTGGCTGATATGAATAAATCCATCTGCAGAGAAATCATCACCAGTTTTCTTTCTCCTCTTTTTTCTCCTTTCTCTTCCAGACATTTTTACTCCCATTTATACACTGTGTAGAGTGATTTCATTTCTCCTATCCCCACTCAAGTCAGATTCCTCAATTTATAATTTTTTACCTTCTTTCCAAATTGTTGGTTTCTAGTTTAATTCCTACCTCTGTTACTGACCACCTCTGTGATACAGTCTCTTTTGGATCAAGCTCTTCAGGGCAAAACCTGACACCCAGTACAACTGAGCCCCAATTTTTTCCAGGGCATACAGATGCTGAAATTAAAAGGGAGAATAACAGCCTGAATATGATATGGATATGTATTATTTAGTGAATTCTTACTTTACATGCCACATCAATTTCAACCCTAATTATCCAACCACAAGCAGCTAAGTCATGCTGTTTATCCACAGCGTAGCTTCATAAAGCCATTGGAGCAATTGAAATGAAAAGAATTACATAAAAGCATCTTTGGAATTTCTGCAATTATTATTGATATTGAGGCAGCAGGCACACTGGGTGAGAAATGGCACAGCCACAAGGTAACAAGATAACTTGTTTGGGCAGAGGCATCACCTTCTAGTGAAGAAAGAGCAAATTCAGTAAGTATCAGCATCACCAATCTGAAAATTTTTCCTCACCTGAAAATCTGTTTGGGCCAGGAAAATGAGCTTATCCTTTTCAAAAGGTCTTTATCTTGGGAAAAGAAAGGTTGACTATGTGACAGCTTCTGTCAGGTTAGAGATACGACACTGAATATCCCCTGATTTTTCAGCCTGCTTCATTGCGTTGTGGAAGACTGCATTGAAGGCCTGAAAATAAGTACAATTATTTTTATTTATTTGAATTCTGATTTTCTGCTTTTCTGTTCATAAGATAATCAGTTTCTGACTGCAGGTTTCTAAGAAGAGCTGGCCTAAGCAGTCTAAAATGCAAGGCACTGCTGTCAAGAGGCTTTTGAGGAAACTTTCAGCAAACCAGGCGTGAGGGCTGCAAACAGCAATACTCTTCTGCTTCCTCGTTTAACTCAGCAGGCAGAACCTCTCACGTAAGAAAGGTGGTAATTTCGCAGTGGGTGATCTCCCTTCCTCATAGCATTAGATCATTTGTTAGATTTGCTACAGTGAATCGTTTATACAGAATCGCTCAAAACTCTTCCTACCTGACCCTGTGGGATGGCTTAACAAAAGGAAGGTGAACTGTACAAGCACAGTCAGAAAACACCATCAGAATGGAGACAGTCAACAACGAGACCCATGGGAATGCATCGTGCTGGGGACCAGTGGGAGACCACATCGTGTTCTCCTATCTCAGACACGCAGCCCTGCAAATGTAAACATCTGGTACAAGTAATAACTGATATATATCGGGCATCACTGCTGGAGGCAGAATTCTGCTCCTTGCACTTTGAAACCAAATCAGCGAGATAAATTTTTACCTTCAGTGAACACCGGTAGACAGGGTTGCTGCTGCCCAGGCTGTTACTAACAAAGTGAAGAATGGACGCTCTTATGGCTGTTGGTCTTTAATGCTCTCTTGTCACGAGCTTCATTTTCTTTGGCTTCAGCTATCTATAGGATGACAGTTGTCTCATGTATTTTTTAATGTGCCGTGATATCCCAGGCAATTACCAAAACATTCCTATCCATACAAAAAAGAATATGGATATACTCTAGAAAACTGACTTTATTTCAGACAGTAGCAAATATTTAAGGTAAGCAAGCTTCTTATCTTAGGCAAACATTAGGGAATGACTCTTCTCTGCAGCAATATGCCTGTTCACCAGTGAAAACATGGCAATTATATATAAATACAGTTGTTAATATTTCATGCTTATATTTTTTTTCTTTTATGAGTACTAACTCAAGCACCTAAGTCAAAACAAAAAAAAACCCCTGAGTATGTGACAGCTACATACCATAGATATGAAACTGTGAATATGTGGGTGGACAGTCCTTGCTGGACAGACAGGAATTTGACTATTCCTAGCTCACTGAAATGTTTGAATAAAACCAATTAATAATACACATTTTACGGGTGACTTGAAGCTGTTAAAAGTAGTTCCTTTTTTTGTTTGTTTGTTTTTTTAACCTTGCGCTGTATTTCTGCTGCGGTTGACTTTTTGTTGATTCGCATTTCTCTGCAAGTTCACCGTTGCCTAAGAAGCTGCCCCGGGCAGCCGACAGGCTGAGCAGCACGGCATCCTCCAGCCGCCTGAGCTCGATCCCGAAACAGCTCTGCTGCTTGGCCAGGGCTGACTAGCAGAGGGAGCGAAAACACTGCATTTCAAAGACGACAGCAAGAAAGACTGTTTTACAGCATTTGTGAGCTGTATTTTCTGTTTAATTACATCAGTTGATTTAATTTAATTTCTGAAAGAGACAGTTCATCTTCTGTCCCAGTACACTAGAACTAAGGTTCTGGGACACCCAAAGTGAGAAGGCCAGGGTCACCACAGACCAGAACTTTCTCTTTCTCCTAGCCTCCTTCCTCTTCATAGGACACAAAAGGACTGGGATCTTGCCAGAGATGGCAAGTGATAATCTACGTGGCAGCTGAGAAAACCAACACAAGGCTGCAGGACCCCACTTGGCCAGCAAGCAGTGGGGGAAAGCATGGTTGTAGTCTGCTCTGCCGCACTGACCTTCTGACAGGGATGGAGCTTGGCTAGTTTTACGGGGGGCTCTCCATCAGAATCTGACCCTCGCATCAAAAAACCCCTAGGTGATACAGGCTTTGTAAGCATACAGCCCCATGTGGAGCGATGTGCAGATGCAGAGGAAAATGGCCAGCTGTTTTCAGATTGTGTTCCCGAGTATATCGCTTTCATTCTTCACGGGGTAATTAAACTCTCTGACCCAGTTTGCCCTCGCATGAAGCAGCAGTACTTCAAAGAGGTGCAGCAAATCTTTGCGGATGAAGTTAGTAAATTACATGGGAATACTTGAAAGACACACTAGAGAAATAGGAAGTATTCTTCTTATTCATTTCACACCCCTAAGTATTTTTTCATTTTTTAGCTCATGGATCACAGTCTGCTCAAAGCCCTTTTTGTAACCAGCTATAAAAGTGTTTTTCTTCATAAGTTACCATACATTGGTATGAGTGCAGCAGCCACAGAACTGCATCTGTGCAGGAATAAATTATGATTTATTAACCAAATGCCCTAGGTCCTAACAGTGCCATCATATCCTCTTATGGACTGGCATGAAATTTTATTTACATTTATTGGCTCAAGATCACTGAAGCACAAAGCACTGCAGAGGGCTTTAATCCCGCACTGTAAATTAAATGCAATGCACAAAGCAAACCAAGTAGAAAAAAGAAGTGTGGAAACAAGATCACAATAAATTTCCTTTCTAGCAGAGCTTTTTGTCATACCCAGCCCTCTGGGAGTACAGATTTGAGCAAATCAGTAGACGCACTTGCTGCACTTTCCAGAATCTGACCCTTAAAACTTTTCTAATAGATGGGTTACTAACAATTACTGTACAGCAGATTCAAACAGGCATATTAATGAAGCCTTAAAATCTCAGAAGGGGCAACGGACAGATCAAAAGATAGCCTTTACCTTACGTTTTTCTAAGTCCGGCCTTTCAGCACTAACAACCTCAGCCAACAGCTGCTCTTCCAGCCCATCCCTGGTGACAGTGAAATTAATGAGGGTGGTCTGAGCCTGCAGTTCTGGCTTGTACTGAGGGTTAGCCAGCTTAGTGTGAAGGATGAGACGGAAATTCTTGTTGAATTCCTTGTCTTCAATCTTGATATATCTGGAAAGGAATAAAATGCACGAGAATGGGGACCTTGCTGAATTAAAAAATCATAAATATCCTAGATTGAAAAAGATGGGTACTGCATGATCTTGGCAGCTTAGGAAATGGATACAAACCAGACTTTAGGTGCCTGCAGCTTAAGAAACAAACTGAGGATGACTGAACACAATAAAATCATATGAAGAATACACAGAGCATTTCTCAATTGGCAGTTTCATTTCCATATGCAGCAGACACCAGTGGATTACTCACTGCTGTACTAAAGAGTCTGTGGCTTAGGGGTAAACTTCTATCTCTATTACTTTATTACTTACCACAAACTTAGGAAAGTTTTCAAACAACTCTTAATGAGATAGCTGTCGGTTCTTACAATCATTTCCTTAAATATAGTTCACTTTTCCATCTTTTGAAATAGCTTAGCACTAAATCCTAAAAAACTACGTGGATACGTATATTTATACCAAACTGATAGTGACCAGAGGAGAGGGAAGAGCTGATGACTGAAATGACAAAAAAAAATAAATAAAAATTTAAGGTTACCTACTAAATGTTTTGTTCCAAATCTATTATTTGCTGGGTGAAAGAATGAGGTGTAGTAGGTTTACCTTTCTTTCATTGAATAAGATCCCTTAATGAAGAGGTGTCATTTCCTCACCCCTTGCCTTCAGCGAGAGGTGCCAGCCTGTCCCGTACAGCAACACTACCGCTGCTGAAGTACCGTTTTGGAGCCCAGCAGTGAGGCAACATAAAGTTTACCTTCCTACTTCTATGCAACAACACTGAAAAAAAATGGAAAGACTGCTTAGAGACCGGAGTGCGTGCTGTGCATCTGGTCTGGTGTGAGACAACTTTGTGTCATCAACTTGCACAGTGAGCAGTGTGCCGATCTTCAGCCATCGCCTGCCACACACTAGCACAAGTACAATATTTTCTGCACAGCAATGGCTTTGAATGTTCTCTGCCAAGAAAGGAGATCCAAACACTAGTAACAAAATTCTGTTTAAAAAAAAAAAAGTCTGTAGAACATTTATACAATAGAACATAGGTAGACAGAAACCCTTTTCACAAAATTCAAATTGACATTTTTTAAGTCAAATCAATCTTCAAAGCGATATAGACACTAATCCATTGAAATGCAATTCATGAAAGTCACATCAGAACATAAATAAAACACCGACTGTTCTGTACAAATTTTAACACCACTTTCTTTTGAGGATATCATAGGGCATTGCCAGAATCAGGGATGTATATTTCAGCTCTTAACATCCTTCCCTGCCTTTGACATCCCATTAGCCGGAAGATGTAGGCTTAAAGAAGTGCTGTGCTGAAAGCCTTTCTGCATTTCACCAAGGATCAGAAAGAAAAGACAGTCACTCATGATATACTGCAAGCGAATTCCTAAAAATAACAAAATGTGTCTGGTGCAAGGAAACTCTACAAAACTCAACATCAGAGGTGTATGTTGTATACTACCGCCATGCAAAGCACTGGAGATGAGCTTTCCTGCCTTATGCTTGTATAACAGTGAAATACTTTAGCCACATCGTCACGTCCTTCAGATAACATAACCTCCCTCAGGTGGAGCTGAATTCACCTTTCAGTTCTGCAACATGGGTTTCCATTCTGATACTGTGGTTTCTCCACGACCTTCGAAAGTGGCTGGAGAGAACAAAAACACTAGAGCTTGATACTGAGAGAGTAATTTTGTTCTGCTTTCAATACACACACACACAGAGACAAAAGACAGAAGTAAAGCTCTGACAAAAGATAACTTCTTCAGTTTGCTCTGTCAGTGGAAAAACCTTTGCTAAGGGAGTCACACTATATTTCAGAAAATCTACGTGGCGATACAAGAAGCTTTAGAGTTCTGGATTCAAGTACTTACTTTATGGGTTCTCAATTCACAGAGGCAATAAATTAGCAATTTCTGTGATTACAATCTATGAAAGGCAAAAACTACATAATGACTCAGTGGGTTTTATTACTGCAGCTATTCTAGGTTTTCTGTTAATTACAGATCTGGGAAAAATAAATGTTTTGTTATTGCTCTCACACAGTTCAAGGAGTATAAGCAACAACGATAAACACAGAGGTGGGGAAACCCAGTAGAATTGCTTCATTTTTTTCAATGAAATATGTCTGTTTAGAGGTTAGTTCTGGACTCTGAAGAAATGTAGCAGATATAGGCACTATTTATGTAAGTCCACAATAGGGGGCATAGCGGAAAAAAAAAAAATCACCAAAGAAATTACTAAAGACAAGTTCTACTTTTGGTTATTTTTTTCTTCATAATCTCCTGTTCCACCAGCAGAGGCAGATAGAACAGACTGAATTAATGCACCAGTCTACCCAGGAACAGACAGAGCATCTTTCATGTGAGCTCCAGCTCCCTGTTATTTAAGAACATACAAAGTAAATCAAAAAGAGATTGTTTTCCAACTAGTTTTTTCCCACTGAAATTCTCGCAGATCTTGAAATGAAGTAGATTAAAGGATTCAAAAGGGGATTCTTAGCAGCTATTTTCATGCAACTCAAAATTAAGAAGCGTGCCTTTACAGGCAGATGTTCTCCAAAACACACGGTGACTTTAAACGGCAGAAAGCAGGATAGCTTCCTATAGCTAAATGTTTTGGATCAGCTCAGCAAGAATGAAAAGAAGTGATAAATTTTTGGACAAGAAAGGAAAGGGAAACAATATTTTTCAGTGTGAAGAAAAAGGGATAAACACATTTTTCCAAAGGAGCCTTCTTTCAGTTCCTGCTGCTTAAAATTAAAAGCTTCTGGAACTGACTTGCAAACTCCAAGTAATGTAGAGAATGAAGTTGAATAAATCAGGTGAAAACAAGTGCAGAATGGAGCTGTTACTAGGCAATCTCAGTAGGCAAACTGTGCAAGTTGGTCAAACTAGTTCAGTGGGAAAAGCGCTGCCTTGAAGTTGCACAGCTGGCGAGACGTTCAAGGCGAGGAAAGCTTCTCCCTGTGGAGAAAACGAGTGAATTGTCTTGCTGCTTCATGAATAATAGTCATGCCTCATAAGAATGGAAACTTGTTCATACAAGCTACATTTGCACATAAATCAAATTTCAAGACATCTTAAAGAATCTTGTAATAACCTAATCTTGCGAGTGAAGAGACATGACTACCACTTTGTGAATGTGCAAAGGATTTGAGCAGGTGTAACAGCTCATGTCAATGCAAATAGGGGCCTTATGAACAATAAATTTATTCCTCTATCTTCCCTCCTATGATTCAAAATGACATTGATCTATTATAGTTAATGCTTATATCCAGTCATCTCCAAAACAGCGGTGCTGGGGAGACAGGACAGGAAACACACAGATACAACTCAAATATTAAAGCCTATCCATACCAAACCTATTCAATAGCATCACTCCTCTTATAGCAGGCGATGGCCAAACCCCAACACTGTATAGAATTGGCACATGTTTACTTTTATGCCTTGATTTATCTGCTCCAGAAAACCTAGGTATGTGCATTTTGAATCATTTTTGCATACATTGCTAGTAAGTTGCACCCAAATTTTACTTACATTTTTTTCTTGTGCCTTTCATGCTTCCATAAAGCTATGTACTACAACTGATATATTTTTGAAATTATTTGATTCTTTTTTGTCTTTTCTCCCTCTTCTTAAAGCAAATATCCTAAAATATTTAATAAAATTGTAGGATTTTAGAGCCATTTTGAACATGAGATCACAGTTTAAAGTGTATAAAGACCCACTGAGCAGCTTTGCAGCTCCAAAATTAAATTTAAAAAAATATCCAAACTTGAACACCTAAAACTTGTTAGGCTTCTAAATAGATACTAAGGCATGTAAGCAAGAAGTCTGATTTTCAGAGATAACAAGTACCTGTAATTTGCCCTATAATCACCCATGTTTTGAGGAAAACGTAAATTTACACATATATTTGAAGTTTTCTGAAGCTGAGAATTTCTTTTGCAGGCTTCATTCAGTAACGATACCGGAAGCTGGTGTTACAGAACATCCGAGAGTCCAACACAAGAACCATCTTGGTAAACAAGGAAGGGGAGAGATGATACTTTTATGAAGCTGCTTCACAGATCAGCAACTTCTCTAATACGCAGGCTACTAAATTTGCTTTGGAAGGAGTACAAGTTGATAAATCTCCCTTGCTATGCTTTCTGTCGATTGATATGATAAGATATATTTTACTTAAAATTAGGATTGTCTGAAGCTCAGTGGATTTAATTATTTGTAATTATCCAGTTGTTGTCAGTATGTGGCCATTTTATGACAGTGGTATCTACTGTGTGGGTCAGGTTCAACTGTATATCTTTTCAAACACAGGATTAATGTACTATTGATGAAACCATTACCAGAACCAAATTAAAGTCTGGGCTGATGTATTGGTCCACAGGGTGCTGTCAGACATGAAAGGAGTAATTAGTATTCATTACTTCATACTCTGCAACATTCCAATTATTAATGAACTTCAACTGCTGGACTGCACCATATCTATCACAAATACCTTCCTAGTCTTTCTTTATTAGGAAAAAAAAAATTCAAAGTGCCTGACACAACTACTAAAATAAACAAATAACAAATGAACCCAGAATGAGGAAAACTCTGCTTATTTGGTAATAAAGGGGTATATATGTATTAGCAGTGCCCCACAAAGGAGACCTGCTGCATCTTCAGTGAGCCACAGAATGCTAACGCTGCTTAAAATATTCACCAGGAGAACCTATATTTGAACAGCTTCATATGTGTGAAGAGCTGTGAACAGCTTTGTGTCCAGGTGTACAGCTCGGTTGTGCTACGTGGAAGCCTTTGCTAAGTAAATGTAAAACTCTGTTGCTGTGACCCTTGTCCTTTTCAATCCAACTTCTTTCTACTGTTTTACATCCCTCTGCCTCACGCCTTAAAGACTTGTTAGACTGTGCAATTTCTGATCTCTCTTTTAAGAGTGGTAGAATTCTAATTTTCAGTAGATTTTCTTCTCTACAGATTCTAAAAAGCAAGTTATATGGTCTTACTCTGAAGTACTTCAAATACCACTATAGAAAAACGTAACAAAGAGTAATCATTTCAAGATCTCACAGTGCAGGGCAAGAGTGCATCATCCAGGAGCTTCACGTATGCAGGGAGATTTGAGCTCTTGTGTATTGCTTAGATTTACTGTGTAGGCACCAATGCCTGAAATATAGC